AACATGGTCTCTATTCTCCATGACTGATGCCCTCATAAGGTTCCCAGATCTGTAGTGTACTAGCTACCAAGTAGCAGGAGCACAGACTTGGGAACCTTCCATTCTTTCCACTCACCACATCTAATCCATCACTAATTTCTGTTGATGTTGCTCCCTGAATCTCTCCCTATCCATCTGCTTTTTATTATTTCTGCAAATTCCTTCCTAGCCCAGCTTCTCAGTAGCCAGAGTCTCACTTACCTCTTTTCTCTTTTCCATTGTGGCCCTCCTCTAACCATGACCCATGATGCAGCTACCTGACACTCTGACTGGGTCTTTACCTCCTCTACTCATCTGAGCCTTCCTGGAAGCAGAAAGACTCTGGTCACAGGGTCTTTCTAAATTGGTGGCCTTTTGCACTCTTGCACAGCCTCTGAGGACTCATTCTTCCAAACAGGGTCCTATCCTGTTGCCTTTGTTCCCTAGAGTGCAGTAAGGTTCATGTTCATCATTACAATTGACTGCTCTTACAGGCATGGAATAAAAATGCCAGTGTAATACTGTGGACTCACTCAACCCTCCCCTCCAAATATCAAATTTTTAGGGTACTCTTGGAATCCTCAAGGTGTACTCACTCATCTAGCAAGGAACCAGAGACTGCTGCCACCAGCCACAGTTGGCTATACACTGGGCTTGGGTATCATCCCAGCATCATATCTACAGCTAGAAGTCAAACCTAAGCCTTTTCCAGAAGTGCTGCCTCTGCTCCCTGACTGTGGCTTGTCCTGGCAGCTTTGGGAAGAGATCCAGGGTTGCTGTGATAACTGGGGGGGTAGAACAAAATTTATAATTTGAACTCTGTTCTCCCTGTCCTTCCTCATAGTGGAAACCAGTTGAAGGAGGTAGAGGAAAGCTCCTCCAGCCACGGGTGGGGAGAGTCAGGGGGAGAGAATTGCAGACTCCTCAGTGGCCTTCCAATGGGCCTCCAGGAAAGATCCGAGCGACTAACATGGTTCCAGAGCCCTGCAAGGCACTGCCTGTCACTCCAGTCTGAGACCCACCACTTTGCCCTTCACTGTTTGCTCTTCAGCCATGCTGAGCACGCACCACCTCCTGACTATTCATGCAAACCACGTGTGGCTCCCACTGGGGTATTCCTCGCATTGGTTGACCATGTGTCAGGTCAATTCTAAGGTGACCTTTAGGACAGGACCAGCACTGTGCTCTCTGGGAAGGGTTTAGTGCTGTGGTTACTGGACTCACTCATAGGACCTTCACTAGGCCATAACCATCAGGAGCTTGGAGTCCACATCTATGGGCTTCTTCCCCCATTGCATGCTTAGCGGTCAGCATAGTGCAACACATGTAAAACCTTGCTGAATAAATGAGCCAATGAATGCCAGTACCTTCACCTTTAAAAAAATCCTGCTTATGAGTTTCCAATGGCAAAAGGGAAGCACAGAGATCAGGAATGTATCACCTCACATTGCTGATGCTACCCACAGAATTTCTTCAGCTTTCTTTACCACTGCCTACTGGCACAGCTGTCAGGACCACCATCTCTGTAATGGTTGCTGCATAAGTTATCGCCAAGAAAGTTGTCCTCCAAATCATATGAAATATTTCTGGAAGGGTATTTGAGATACTGGTGATCCTTGTTTGCCTCTGAGGGGTGAACTGGCCCTCTGAAGGCAGGGATGAGAAGGAGGCTTTTTATTACAGACCTTCTTTTACCTCTGAATTTTGAGCCACATGTGTTGATTACTTATTTAATAAAATTAAGGTTGTAAAAGGAGGGAAGTTACCATAGGGATGTGGAGAGATAGGAATGCTTGTGATTTAGAGAAAAGGAAATAGAGGTGTAGTTGATGGGAAACTGTTCTCAAAAAGTTCTAGTTTTGGCCAGGTGCAGTAGCACATGCTTTGTAATCCCATCTACTCTGAAGACCAAGATAGGAGGATCCAGGCTTGAAGCCAACCTGGCAGGAAGTTAGCAAGATCCCATCTAAACTAATAAGCTGGGTGTGGTGGCATGCTTCTGTAATCCTTGCTACATGGGATGTGTAAATGGGAGGATCACAATCCAGGCTAGTCCAGGCAAAAACCTGAGGTCGTATTTGAAAAGTAACTGAAGCCAAAAGGACTGGGGACATGGCTGAAATGGTAGAGCACCTGCCTAGCAAGCATGAGGCCCTGAGTTCAAACCCAGTACCCTCCTATATACATGTACGTGTACATATACAACCTTCATTTATATATACATATATATAGCCTTCAATGATACAGCCATTTTCTTCTGACTTGCTCTGAACATTGATGGACAATTATGTGACTTCTACTGAAAGGGAATTTCACACCACATAACATGACACCGTATAACATAACATTGCTCCCATTTCAAAATACAACATTTCTTCTAAATATAAAGGCTTATGGAACCAATATCCTTGAGAGCAAGCAGTTGTTGAGGAATGAGTTCTCTATGATGATCTGTAAGATTGGAATAAGAAGCAGGATTGTAGCATGCTGTAGAACTGGAAAATGTGAATTGGCCTGAATAAGCTTGTGTTGTCTCTGTACATGACTTTGTCAGTTACTGAGTCACATTTGAACAGTAAATAAAAGAAATACCAACAGGTCTTACCTCAGACTGCTATAACAAAGTACCATAGACTTGGGTGGCTTTTCAACCACAGAATGTCTCACAGTTCTGGAGGATAGACGTCTGAGATCAGGGTACCAACATCGTTGGGTTCTGGTGAGGTCCTCTTCTGAGTTAGAGACTGCTGACTTCTTATTATATCATCATATGGCAGAAAGAGGGAGAGAGAACTGTCTGGATTCCCTTCCAAAAGGGCACTAATCCAACTCACAAGGGCTCTAGCCTTAGAACCCAAACACCTCCCAAAGAACATCATCTAATACCATCATACTGAAGGTTAGGATTTCAACATGAATTTGGGGGGGGGCGGCGGGGAACACAAACATCCCATTATGAAACCCTTTATAGCTCAGTCAGTGCACCATAAGAAACACGTTCTACTTTCAAACCTAGTATGTGCATAGACATATATAATAAATATAATCAAAACAAAGTTTTCATGAAATAATACTTACCCATGCTACGTGAAATATACTATGCTATTTTGTGTTATGTTCCCTCCCTCCTCCAGTCTGTACCAAACATTGGCCATGATCTACCTGATTGACTCTCTTTGTTAAAGGGCTCTGACACCCGCAGTTTAGAAGCCACGAATCTAGTTGTCCCTACTTCTGTTGTCCGTGGGCTGTGCTCTATACTCAGGCTTTCTGTGCTCCTCACATTCCTTTGAATTTACAGAGGTTGAGGGTTAATGACCCCCTGAAGCCTCTCCTGCAAAGTTTTAATTTCTGTCAAGAAGGGACAGTGAGACAGGGACAGTAGGTACCTGATAGGTTAGACTTGGAAGGAAGTGACTCAGAAGGCCACCTTGTCTGTCACACAGGATTGATAAGTCCAAAAATGGACCACAGCTTTTAAGCTGGGAACATCTATATTTTTTCATATAATGTTTAGCCAAAGTTCATACTAATTTATTTTAGCAAGAATCTAGATAGTATAAAAAGACAAAAATCCTCATTTTAAAATATGTCAGAACAAATTGAGAATGTCAGTTTTCTTTCTGCCTGGACTTCACTGAGGCATCAGGCTTGTTCATCTTAACTGGTCACATAAGCAAAAAATGAAAAGGGACTAACTAGGGAACCCATGGATATACAGACCCTTTGGGCAGGCTGTTGTACTTCTTGAGTAAATTTCCTATTTGTGGAGGGTTGCTATGTTCCTTCAAGTGCCAACATTTGTTATAGCCAGTTTTTAAATAGACATTTTTCCCAAAGTTGTCACATCTTTCCCCAGTTCTTTTAAGACCATACAGAATACAGTATGTCTTTTAACTTAGAATCCATTCAGAGATACAAGGCCCCATACCAATTGGCTTCATTTTGTTACTTACAAAAACCTTATCTGCCTTTTAAAAATTTATTGGTGGTGGGACTCTACTTCCATGGCTTTTAGAAATGAGCCCCTTTATTCATGGTTTGCTATTGAGAATCTGTTGTGATCTTGGGAACCAGATAACAACCATATTGTCTGACTTGCAGTTCTCCAAAAGACTCATATTATTCTTTGAAATTGGTATCTTAAGGGAGGGGGAATTTTTGAGAGGGGACCTCAAGAACTCTATTTGTAAAGTCAGCAACCTTAAGTTCTTTTTCCTTCACTTAGTTAATTGACCAATAAAGAAAATGCTTTTCTTATATTCTGTTTTTAAGCTGCTCAGATTCATACATAAAATGCTGCCTTTCAAAGGTGAACTAAGCATAGTTTCCTTTTCCTTTTCCTTTTTATAATGTGTTTACTACTTTACCTGGTCTAAAGCAAGATTCATGGGCTTTTCCATTTCATTTAATTTTAGTGGTAAAAATTGATGGGTATTTTGGTGAGAGTTTCATTTTCAGTGTTTTAATGGCATTATAGATTACCAAAGGTCTTTCTCTTTCCCTTGGAGAGACTGCATGGGGAAGTTCTCCAAATTTTCCTGATTTCCATCTATCAGCAAACCTGAAATAAAACAAGTAAGGTGAATAATGAACAATTAACTTATTTTTAAGAGGTGATGTGAACGGCATTCTTCTTTGACTTATGAATTCATTATATTGAAACAAAAAAGAAAATAATTGAGTCATTGCTTTGGCAAGCTACTTTGAAATGATACCCTTTTATTATTCCTCCTAAGATGTACAGTTCTGACAGAGTGGTGAAGATGAATGGAGAACAGAGCTAATGGGAGATCCATCTCTCGTGCTGAGAGTTAGGAGAGAAACACGACTTTTGTTTATGTTTATTTACAGAAACCCAAATGGAAAGTCAGCTTGTGTACAGTTGGGCTTCATTATTTAGTTTAGCAGTTTCTCAGAAACTCCCTCTCCTACATGGCTATTTGTAATGTAAACATGATGCATTATTTCCTTTTGCGCAGACTTTATAGGAGGAACAGTCCTTTCCACATATGTCAAAAGACTTCTGGAAGCATTTTGAAGCTGAGTGGTGAGTATCCTACACATGTGTCGCACAGCCTTAGGGCTGATCATCAACACTCCCGCACACTGCATCTGTACGTGTTTCTTTGTTTGTCTGCCTCCTTCTCCAAAACGTCACCCTCCACTTTGTCTTGTTCACTCCTATATCCCCAGTACCAACGACAGTGCCCAGCACAAAGATGGCCTGCAATGGATGTGTGCATTCATTCTTGCTTAAGCTGTAACTTTTTTCCCCTTAATTTTCTATTTCTGCCCACCTTTTCCATTTTCAACACCCTAGCTCCTAGCTAGCCTAGTCATTGCTTCAAATCCCTATCCCAATGAGTGGTCTTGTTTTTTGCCAAATTTTAGCCTTTTTCTATTGCTTGCTTTTTTGGCCTGCAACACTTGGAACAATTTAATAACCTCATGCCTCACTCTCTTAGCCACTCATCTGCTCTTGGGAATCCCAGCTCTTACCTGTGTTACGAAATCTACATTTGCAGCTGCTCAGTCACCTTTTAAAAAACTCAGTCTACTTCCCTCTCTAAACTCTAAGTTACCCTCATTGAACTGTTGGAAATGTTAGCTGTCTTTTTACTTTGCTCATCCCCATGACTTAGCAGCTACCATTTAAAAAAGGAACACTTCTGTTCTCACCTCACTTTCCTAGTGACTGCTCTTACCTGGAGCAGCTTCCTAAATAGCTTCTATACCTCCCTATCTACCCCACTCTGGCCAACTATAATACCTGCTCCTGAGATTTAATTTTATCACCGCCATGCCCCCAAATCCTTAGATGCTTGAAATCTAAATGCTTTGGTTTAGTCCAGAAGACCATCCACAGTCTGGGCCTGGGTGACTGATGGTCATCATTTTTGTTATTTATAGTCATAGCACTGTAGTAATGACAGCAGCTTTTAAGTCTTTTAAACTTTTATTCTACCAGGCACAACACATAAGACATGAAATCATAGTTCTTCTTGGTGTTTTAGAGCTGTATAATATGGTATTAGAAAGAGTAGGTATGGTGGAAGGAGATAGGGCTGGAGAGATATGCAGGGCCCCACGTGGGCATCTTGTCTGCTGTGCTAAGGGGCACAGCAGTGAGGCAACAACTAGAAGAGTTTCATGGAAAGTCATGAGCTTCATACTTTATTTTAGCTCAGCAACATGAGCTAACATTTGGGAGTTGAATTAGAAGAGAAAGGAACTAGAGACAGGGAATTGAGGGAAGATGAGGGCTTGGATTAAGGTAGTGAGGACAGGGAAGAGTGAGCAGATTTGAGATTTAGGGGAAGAATTTTTATGACCTGGTTAGACATGAATGTTGAGGAAAAGGTAGGAGTAGAAGATGAGTATCTGGCTGTTGATTTGAGTGCTTAGAGATTGGGGGATGATGCTCAACTGAGAGAGAAGACTCAGAAGAGGCTGCATAGACATGATGGCAGAAGCAGGAAAGCTATGATAAAAAAAAGTCCTATTTTGGACATGGATTTGAGATGCCTGTGGTATGTCTAGGTCGGATGTGGCTATAAAGAGAGTGATCCATGAGGGAGACATTCACTGTGTTATGGTCATATGCTCCAGGCAGTGATTTCAAGCCAGGGGAAGAGCTGAGATTAAGACATCTGCAGGACCTCCAGGTGGAGTCTAGAAGGAAGCTGTATATGAGTGTGGATCTAAGCAGACAGGCCGCGATGAAGACATGGTTTTATAAACTTTTGCTAGTTATTAAAGCCATGGATTTAAATAAGACTTCCCTGAAAAGGTGTATAACAGAGAACACCATTCCCTGATCTTCATTTGCACTTTAATTTTCTCATACATTGGCTCAGTTCCCCATACTCCACCCCTACCCACCATCTCTGTCTTCCATTTTCTTCTCTGTTTAGGGAAATGATATCAGATGCATCCCATTGTTCTTGAAGGCTTCTCAGACACCACTGATCCCCATACCTGCTTCTCCAGAAGCGATTTCTCAAGCATACATTCTCTCTGGCATTCTTGTTCTTGTGACTCTTGGAGCTTTCCTTTGAGGCTCACTTGTAATTTGTTTCCAGCTTATCTCTGTAAGCAGATTCAAGTCCTGACAGCAGGGCCCACATCTTTCCCCACTCTGTGTTCCCACCCAACCTAACGGCTCTGTTGCCTTGTATACACTCACTGCTGATACTACATTTTATTGATTATTTTATTCCTCTTTAAAAGAACAAGGAAAAAAAGCAAATAATTCAAAGTTCCATAGGGTTTATATCAGTTGGTATACCTTAAACTAACTTGAAAGTGCCTGTGTCAAATATGTTTACAGCTGAATGTTCTATTTTTCACTTAAAAAAAAAAGAAAAAGAAAAAAATTAAAGTATTGAAAAAGTCTACAAACTAGTGCAGGACTCTTGTCATTTGTTGTTTTTGTGATTTTAAGCTGCAGAGGAAGAGAATGTCTTTTGACAGCTCCTCTTTACCTACTATAGCTTGTTGCAAGTAATTTTCCTTGGGTCACACTTCCAGTGTTTCTAAGAGACATTTTGCACACATTTGCACTAGTTGAATTTGGATGCAGTGAGAGCTCTTTTCTGAGAAGCAGGGACTGTGACTCATCCAAGCCCTCTGTTGACACTTTGGTGACCTCTGGTCAAGTGGCTTGACCTCTTTTGTGCCTTTTTCTTTACCTCATCTGTGGAATGAACATCTATCTATACACTGGCTCCTGACCTGGATCAAAGGCATGTTGTGAGGCCAAATGGACTGATGGCCTTTGAGGTCCTGAGATCAAAAGTATCACACACATTACAGAATTTATTTTATAGAATTACGGAAGAGGTCATGCTCAGGACAGCTACCTTTATAAAGCCCATGAGTAAGTAGATCTAAACCAAAGGGTCCCCACACAGAAGAAATTTCCTCTCCTATCTCCAGAGGCCCAAGGTGGGAGTGAGACTTGTTACTGAAGACTGGTTGAGAGTTTCAGAATTTATACACACCCTCAACATGGGAAACAAAGTCAGCATGCTTTTATCTTTAAAAAAGAGATGACTCTGAGGTGTGGAGGTTTATTGAAGAATGCAAAACTCGTGTTTGTTTGTTAAAGAAAAAGAATGCTGGTAGATAGCAAATAGTATGACAGGGTCCAAAGTAGAACATGCTGTGCCAAGTATTAAATAAGTTCATTGCTTTTTGCATTTAGATCGTGGGTGTCAACTTATCATAGCTCATAGCATGCTCCATGCCAGGCCTTGAGGGTACCTGTTTCATTTACAGATGCTGTTGAGGTGGAATTTGAGGATCTCCCAGAAATCATCCAGAAAGAACTTTTAACACCTGTGGAATCCTTAAGGTTGTTTGAATTTAATTGGGCATTCCTCAGATGCCACTGAAATTTTTGGTTAATGATAAAAATATTTATGTCCTTTGAAATATGTCAAATGGCAGGGAGAGTTGACTAGAGTTAGTGACAGAAGCAATATGCTTGATCAAAACTGAGGGAAACTCAGTTTAACAGCATTGGATGGGGTCATTGGATCTGTAGGTCATGACGTTGAATGTATGATGAGACGAAAATCTCAATTGCTTACATAGCCTGGCAATGAGCCTAGTGGCATAGTCATAGCTATATTTAGGCTATTTCTCAGTTTTATGCCCTCGGGGTCAGACTGTGGACCAAGCATGGCATACCTTTAGGCAGTATTACAATTTACTCAACCCAGTGAAAGTTTAACTGGCAGAAGGTGGCATGTGGATGCAGAGAAGAGAGGGTAAAGATGCTAATACCTGAATCTCCTAATACAGGGAAGTAAGACTTAATGGTTGAAAGTTGGTGGAATTCCACAGTTGTGCTGTCTTCCATTTCTGCTGGTGGCACCAGAGAGTTCCAGTTGCTCACATTTTCATCCACTCTTGGTATGACCACTCTTTTCCATGTCAGACATTCTAATACATCTATCATGGTGGCTCATTGTGATTTAAAAAAAAAATTTTATTATTCATTTTATTCACATGTGCGTACATTGTTTGGGTCATTTCTCCCCTCTGCCCCCCTCCTCCACCCTTTGTCCCCCTCCCCCCCTCACTTCCAGGCAGAACCTGTTCTGCCCTTACCTCTAATTTTGTTGAAGAGAAGACATAAGCATAATAGGGAGGACAAAGCGTTTTTACTAGTTGAGATAAGGACAGCTATACAGAGAGATTCCTAGCATTGCTTTCATGTACAAATGTGTTACAACCCAAGTTGATTCATTCATTATGATTTTAAATTACATTTCCCTGGTAGATAATCATGTTCAGCATCTTCATATGATTTATTTTTGCCGTCTTTGCATGTTCTCTGATGAAGTACTAAACTCTTATGTTAATTCTACCAAGTTTTTTTGTAACATGTACCAAACTTTATTACATAAACACTGTGAATGAAAGACAGTTTTACGTTAAAACAAAAGTCGCTAACATGGCACGGTGACACATGACTGTAATCCCAACTACTTGGCAGGGTGGAGATTGAGATGATTGCAGTTTGAGGCCAATCTGAGCTAATTAGATCCCATTTCAACCAATTAAGCTGGGCGTGGTGCCACACACGTCATCCCAGCTACTCAGGAGGCATAAATAGGAGATAGAGGTTCAGGCCACCTTGGGCAAAGATATAAGACCCTATTTGAGAAATAGCTAAAGCAAAAAGGGCTGGGGATTTGGCTCAAGTGATAGAGCACCTGCCTAGCAAGTATGGGTCCCTGAGCTCAAATCCTGGTACCAACCTCTCCTCCCACTCAAAAAAAAGCGGGCAGAAACACAAATGAAGACTTGAGTACTTAAAATTACAAAGGTATTGACAGAGAATTACAACAATAATATTTTAAACTTTAAGAGGAGTCGGGGCAGTGGGAAGAGATTCCTGATGTGAAGCAAGTCCTGGAGATTTAAGTGTATTTCCAAGAGATATGAAGATAATCACCAGGAGACCATAGCAGAAAATGTTAAGAATCTTTGTCCTAGAAGAATGGGAATGGCAGGGGTAGGCAAAGGAAGAGCTGACTCTCTCATGAAGTCTTTTGTATCACTATTGCCTTGTACATAGATTTTTTTGATAAAAATATATCATGGGTATATTAGTCACAGAACATAAAGATAAAAATGACATGAGGTAACTAAAATGAGTAGAGGGTAGAACTGAAGATTATGAAATAAGACATTCTGGAGAACAAGTATGTGATTAAAGAGCTGTATAAAGGAAGGAAGGCCCTAAAATGACAGTCCCAATGAGCACCTAACACTTATTTTGGTGTTTACTATAGTCCAGGTGCTTTCTAAATATAAGCATGCATTTGCTTATTACATAGTCACAGCAACCCTTGGAGTAGGTCCTGTTTATAGATGAGGAAACCAAGAGCCAGGGATCCAGGGATATTAAATACATTATTCAAGATGGCAGAGTTTCACATCCAGGTGTTCCAGTTCCAGAGCCATCTGTCTGAACTAGGCCATTTTATAGACCTCATGATAGGAGAATGGCCATGACACTCCAAAGTTCATACAGTAGGTGCTCCTTGACCCAGGCTGACGTGATTTGTTCTCTGAGGCCCACTTCTACAAATGCCTATCTTTAGGTTATTAATCAGTCAATAGATACTTGAATGCCTATAACACAGTTCTGGATACTATGATTATGGTCTGCGAAACAGAAAAAAGAAGTGTATAATTTGATGCCAGATGCTATAGGGAAAAATAAATCAGGATAAATGAGAACAACAAAGTGGGATGAGCACAAGTGGGGGTCATGGTGCTGGTAAGGTGTTATGTTAGAGAGGGAGGTCAAGGAAGTCCTCTGTGAAGAGATGGCACAGGAAGATTGTCTTAGTCCCTTCAGGCTGCTATAACAAAAGCCCATAAATTGAATGGTTTAAACTACAAATGTTTATTTCTCACAGTTCTGAGGGCTAGGAAATCCAAGATCAGTGTGCTGATAGACTGGTGTCTGGTGGAGGCCCACTTCCTGTTTTAGACATGGTCATTTCTCATTGTATCCCCATAAGACAGAGAACAGAGGGAGAGGAAGCAAGCTCTCCATGTCTTTTATAAGGGCACTAATCTCATCCAGTCGGACTCCACCCTTATGACCTAATTATCTCCCAAAGATCCAACTTTCTAATACTGTTACCCTGAGGGTAAGGATTCCAATATACATATTTCAGGGGAATGCAAACATTCACTTTATAATATTGATCTAAACGAAGTGGAGAAGTAAACTGCAGCTACAGAGAAACGTATTCCAGGCAGAAGGAATAGTAAATGCAGGGTCCTGAGGCACAGAGCTTGTTTGGCCATTTGAGATACTATAAAGAGGCTTCTATGTTCAAAGCTGGGGAAGGAGAGGAGAGGAAAGAATACCTGGGGCCAAGGCAAGGTGAACCTTTTAAGTCAGATAGTGACTTTGGATTTTATTTTTAGTGCGATGAGAAGCCATTAGAGGGTTGAGTGAAGAGAAGGGATAGCCAGCAAGAATTTCCTGTTGTACCTCTCACGAAGAGGCAGTTGTCAAGGAGAGCCTTGAAAAACTGGGAGCATTTTGCTGATCCATAAAGCTTTGTATGAATGAATTGCTAGAGAAGTCAGGTCCTCCATGAGCAATGAAACTGTACTAATATGTACGTTTCCTAAAGGTGGTTTGTTGGATGAGACAGTAGCTAAATTGTACCTATATAGAGATAGTAATTGATGGCACAATTACTGATCATTTCCAACAACAGGCCAGTAATTTCTCTTTTCAGAGGAAAAAAGTCAAAGAAGAGAAAAAAAACCCTGTTAGAATAATGTTAACTATAATGATATAAGGCTAAAAATAATTCCAGTATCTAACATTTGGAGAAATGATTAAGCTGTAATAGCTTATAATAATAAAATATTATTTGCCAATAAAATACTATATAGAAATCTATGTAAAATAAATGAAGAAAATACAAAATATTGTGAAAAACTATAATCAAGTGCACTGATAAAAATAAGAAACCATGGAGTACTTATGTACTCCATAAAACGCTTTGGTTTTTACCTCTTTACTGTATATTTGGTTGTATGTGAATGTGATAGGAGGAAATTAAGAGAATATGACTCATGAAAAGAAAGGCTGTCAAAGGATGTAGAAAATAATACACAAGGTCAACAAGATTTGGGGAGTGCCTGATGCCAAAAGACAGGAACCGGGATGCTGATGACTGTTCCCAGTGTAGGTAAGTGAGATTTGAGGAAATGTCCTGCAAGACTTATTGAAAGTAATACTGATTTCCAAAAAAGTGAGCCACGTCAACAGATGAGATTTATTTTTGGATTAAAAAAACTACTTCAAAGAAAGTTTCAGATTTATTGTCAACAGCCCATATCCAATTACAGCATTAAAAAAAAAACTACAAAAATTTCTCAGTTCTTAACAGAGAGCACTCTTTGATATTATACAAAGCTAAATTCTGCAAAAGCAGAGAATTTCAGTTAGCCCATAAGAGCCATTGTAATGGAATTTGACCTGGGCTGTGTTGAGAAGTAAAACCTTGGAGCTTGTCACAGCAGGTTGTATTGGAATGAGAGAATAAATTCCAAAGAGTCCATGAAATGGGTGGGGTAGCCTTTATATGTATATGCTAAGTATGAATACTGATCAACTAGGATGGAAACAAGAAAAGGAATAATGGTTTTCAGGATTGTTTGGGATTTAGAATGTGATGCACATCTCTGCACAAGAAAAGATTACCCTGAGATGGGGCCAGACAGGATACTGGCTTCCTACGGGTCTCTGTGAATGTGCTCTACCTTTCTGATCCTTCAATCATTAACAAGTAAATAGGTATGACTTCCATAGTCACCACTGTCAAGGAGAGTCACCTTTAGCCCAACAGGATCCCTTTCAACAGATGTGATAATTTGGTTTCAAGGGTCATGAGCCTTGGTTGAGCATTGCTTTAGGATCTTAGAGGCTGTTTTGTAACTCTTGGTGCCTAAAAGTTATCATATTTCAATTTAACGTCAGTTTGTGAGTACTGTGCTGGTGGTGCCAATGTGATTTTTGATACTACTGATGTCTAGATAGGATGCAGACCTTCTGTGGGGAAATTGGGAAGAAGTAAAGCTGATGTTGCATTGATACTGGACAGATTGTGTCAATCTCTTTGTCTTCTCAGAAAGAACAGCCTCGAAAATGAGGCTAAGGTTGATAGAGAAATATGGGGCTGGGTATGGAGGATTAGGCCTATGATCCCAGCTATTGTTGAGGTGGAGGCAGGAGGATCAGGAGTTGAAGGCCATTCTGGGCAAAAAGGTAGGGAAACTCTATCTCAAAAATAAAAACAGAAGGAT